GTAACTCACGCGCGAGTCCATCGTGGGTGGCTATGGGGCTTCCATTCAACTTAAAATAAATTTATGTCCGACGTTACTGGTCTCCCAAAATCTGACTTTCCTTCTGCCTTGAGGATGTGCAAGAGTATGGGGTTTGCAATAGCTACCAGACATTTCTATCACCACTTGTGAGAACTGCTCCCCAAAAGCGAAGTCATATGACATGGGGAAGAGCTTAATAGTCCCGTTGGGGAGAAGATAGCTTGGATTTAGCGCCCATTCCTCCTTTTGTTCTCATCTCATTGCTGTCCAGACACATCTGTCTGGCTTCTAATAAAATAGTAAGGTAGTAGAAGTTTTGTGCCCACCTCCATAACCAACTTTTTCAAATATCTCCTAACCAAATCTACTACCGCTTTTGGCGTTACTAGCTTTCCTGCGAGTTACAGGTCTGGAGTCGGTGCGATCGTCACACATTCAACTTTTGGCATTTTCCCCAGAGTTTGTGCAATTAGGAGTTTAATATTTTGCTGTGGGATTCGGATAGTTATTCTCGAAGATAGGCTTCAGTGGTTGTTGGCTTCTAATCAGCTTTCTTGGACTCCTCTGAAGGCGGGAGAGCTTAAGAGAACTGCTGACATGACTTGGAGGCCTCTTCTGTACGACACAGGTCCTTCAGAATCTCATCATCAAATCCAAGAGTCAAGCACTCACTTAATGCTTTAAAGAGTGGAAGAGCAAAATAAAAGAAAACACCTTTAACTCCCTTCGTTTACAGATGGAGGACCAGATTCGCAAGCAGCTCTGCCGTCTTGCACTGTTTCCCCATGAAGTACGTTAAAGGTTGCATGAATTAATTCCAGTTGCTCTTTTTACTGTGATACAAACAAAATCTAAAGCTCATTCATCACACACTGCAGAGATTTGTGCGAGCAATCGCATCAACAGACCGCCGAAAACAGATTGAAACGCGCGATTTGCGTTTACTCACTTATTCATTTGGTGATATTCTGTGGATACCCAACACATCCGCATCAGGCTCAACCCTTCTTGTAAGTAATGGTAGTCATAAAAGGGATTTTTTATCTCCTATTGGTGTATTTCTGAGGAAAATACAACCATACCGCGCTTTTATGACCCCGTTGAGCGATCATTAAGGCGATTAAATGGTCCTACTAAGCTGGCAACTTCGAAGGGGCATTAAAAATCTTAAGGGAGCAGAGGAACACTCCAAAATGTCAGCAAAGTGAAGGGGTGACTGGTGGGTACAGATGTTGACACTCCACAGCTGTCTGTTGTCCAGTGGCCAATCAGGCTTTAGCTTTGCAATAGCCTTTGCAATAAATATAAATCAGTCACCTTTTTTCTTCACCTTAGGTTGCAAATAGAGCGGAGTAATAGAATTTACCGTAACAAGAAAGTAGTCAAAGGAGCTTGCAACTGGTGTTTTTTACCCTTAATACGTGGTTATCCATTTTACATTCATAGTAACCTTTGCGTTTGAGAATGTGTCGCATTTACTCGGCAATCCACCTTTTGTATCCCTTTTTCCCAAGGGTGTGAATCTAACCAGGATTAGGAGTGGAAGTGAACGCCCATGGAGCAGCAGCTTTTGTGCTGAGATCCTAGGAGTATGCATGGATGCTCTCACGCTATTTCCAACTGACCCTCAGCAAGCCAACGAGCACATTTCAACACTCCTAAACTTAAGTGGGGATTCGAGAAAACTAATTGGCTGGTTAAGCCCAATCAATCAGTGGACCATCCCAGTTGGACTATTCTGCCCGCGGACCTGCTACATTCGCCGCAGCATTGTGATAGTAGGGCAAGGGGGACTTCGAAAAGAGGCTGTGCTTAAGTACATCTGGGCTCTTGCGCCTGACGCATTTCATATCCCATCAAGCAAGTGCAGCTCAAACTGGTTTCTACTATTAAATAATAAGTAAAATGTATTTTATTTTTAAAATTTAGTGGTCTTCGAAGTTGATGATTTCGACGAGGAAATCGTGGCGACAGGTGCTAACTGGCCACTTGCTTTAGGCGGCCTTGACGATGCCTTCAGGAATCGGAAGAGGCAGAAGAAAGGGCGTGGTGGACACGATTATGTTTCTCAGAACATTCTGAGTAGGTGGAGACTTTTTACAACAATTTTGCACAACAGGAACAGCTCGGAGGACGAGCGGCCAGCTGTCTAGAGAAATGTTGGCTTGTGCCCGACGTACAGTTAAAAGCGGCCGGATCCCAATAGTTGTGGTTGCGCTTTCAGTCCTTAGTGAATGGCGCGCCTCAGCTGAATTGGCTGCTTTCGTAGTGTTATTGCAGTCAGCAAAAGCTGGGGTAAGGTGATTCACACTTTATAAATGCCTTTCAACATCGATTAACTAAGATTTTACTGAAGATTTTGCTCAATATTATGTCTAAATTGTAGCCTAACACACTAATTGACAATTAGCAAATAAATATATCCTCTTTCTGAACGTTGTAATATGACCTCGGTTTTGCCATGGATGAAAAATCTTTTCTAAATATTGGTAATTCACTTCCTGCTTGCATGTCAAGAGGCACTTAAACGTGATACCAGGAAATGTGGACATCTGCTTCTCTCATGCGCCAAACAATCCAGCAAAGGCTGCCGTTTCGATTGCAAAGGCCTTTTGCAACATCAACAATGCAACAGGCTCAAGCGTCATTCCATGGAAGCCTGAAATTTGGTACACCGACTGTTCAAAAGCAAATACCATCATGTCATCTTACTAACGAAATGGAGGCGAACATTTTCATGCCCCTCTCTAACGTCTGTTGCTAAAGACGTATTAAATGTAAGCATGGTTTACGAAATAATTTTGTATCAGGCCAATGTCACTCATATCTTTGTGGATCTTCACATACGTTTTGAAGAAAAATGCGGTTTTGCGGAAGGGCAGAAGGGAATGATTGTAACATGCAATGATATTAAATAACAAATTTGAGCAGTATTGTTAGTGCAATACTTTATTTATGGTTCTACCTGCATGATTGATAGCCACCTCGATATCACCTCGTGGACTGGATGTAGGTCTACGCCATGGACTTATTTCTAACCCTCCGTCTAATTGCAAGAATTCAGCCAAATAAAAAGACCATTATAGTACCTTGTTCGTGTGACCACATGGCATTTTGCGGTCACTTTAAGATTCGCCTAGGCCTTGTACACATGGGCTGGCCTTTGGGCCATGCCCAGACCCTTCCTCCTGTCGTCTTCAGAATACATGCATTCACCTGGTCTTACTGACTTCTTATACCGGCCAGGAAGCCTCGGAACGCTACAGCTTTTACAAGCAAACCGCAAGTTATAAAATATCGTGGGCGTAGTATTTGATTCTATTAAGTATCGAAACAAAGCCGCATTATAAAAATATTACCTTCGTTAATTAACTTGCATACTACGCAATCGCTTATGAATTATTCATACATAAAAATGGCTGCAGGGGTGACATGGTAATAAGTTCAAGTTATTTAAATTTAAGCTCAGCATTTATTAATTTTGATTTTTGAAAACTTTAACTGCTTCACTGTGAGTTGAAATACTCAAGGTCATTTGGGCACGCTTGCCATGTCGGGCGATGTTCAGAAGGGGAAGAAGCTGTTTGTCCAGCGGTGTTCCCAATGTCATACGGTAGACAAAGGAGGTGTCCACAAGACTGGGCCAAACCTTCATGGAATGTTCGGTCGTCAAACAGGCCAGTCTCCTGGTTACGATTACACCGCAGCAAATAAAAACAAAGGTAATTTAATTGAACGGATCTCATTTATAGAACCAGTTCTTTCATGCCTACCCATTGTGTGATTGTCTAGTCCATGACTTTCTTCCTTCATTGCCTGCTGGCAATATTATTGCGCTTGTTTTCGTTAGCTTGATACCGCTTCTTCCTATTTATAGGTGTAATATGGAGCGAGGAGACCCTTGATGAATACCTGATCAATCCGAAGAAGTTTATACCTGGAACTAAAATGATTTTTGTTGGTCTCAAGAAAGAAAGCGATAGGGCCGACCTTATTGCGTATTTGAAGGAGGCTACAAAATGATATGCCCGCAGGGATCGCGCCGTTTTCACTTTCGTAGTTCCTAAACTAATTCAGGTCCACTTCTTTATAGCATAGCGTGTACTTTCTCATTCAGCTGTACTTTAACATTGATTTACAAATTAATTTCAGTAAAGGGACCAGTAGACGTTTCCATTTTTTATTGTTTGCATGGATTCTTATCGATTCAAGGGAAATTACAAGTTTTGCCGAGTTTCTTTGGTACCTTAACTATTCGTAGTTTCGGTTCTTGGGCCTGGACTTTAAGTGGAATATTCCACCTCGTTGCTTTTGTCCAAATTTTGTTTCGCATTCTGTGTCTGCAATGTACTAATCGCGATTACCATCCCGAATTGTGGCAAAAGGAAGTTGGACACTGGTTGGTAAGCACTAGTTGTGGTCTCGCTAAGCGTGCTTTACCTTCTAGACACTGCCTTATGGAATTCCAATGTCATCTTGCGTTGTGCTTCTCGATCAGTAGTGGTGTGTCAGTCGCAAACTGCCTTGGCTAGTTTAAGCGCTGCAGGCTTATCTAAGTAGTTCTGAGATTCTAAACCCAGTCACTACCATTGTTCTTTTAACCTGACATGGTCCTGGGATCAGATTTTTTTGCATGAATGGCCCTTTTGTAATCATGTTTGTTGGAACGTTTGAGGTGGAGCGTGAGATTGAACCACTGTATGGTTGAGTGGTTCACGCATTCTTTGCGTTAAAAATCGGGATACTTATGCTCTCTGCTGTTGTTGGTAAATTAGGTCAGTGCTCATAACCATTGGATGTTAAGTGTTTGAAGCATTAAAAATGCGATGACCATCACTTGGTTGGGTGACGAGCTGCTTACATCTGCTAGTGTCGAGTTTTGTGGATACCTGCTTGCTTTTCGGGTAATCTTTTAAGGAAGGTAACAAGAGATGCGCTATCATGAATAAATAGATTTGAGCATTTGCTGTAGTCGTATGTCTAGACAAAGATATGCACTAGCATATGCTGATTAGCTTTACTATACCTTGAGTAAGGGGGTATATAAAGAATTTTGTTGCCGCTGTCTATCAGTTGGCACTAAGTCATCTCACACTTCAGCAGGTAAAATAAACATCCAGATTTTGACTGCGGTGGACAACCAGGCGTGTTATGACGGCGCCGTAAGAGATGCGACCAATAAAAATATTGTTCAGCCTTAAAATAAGGCGCTTGTGACGCCAACGCGGCAGTCCAAATCAGCCCCATCCGTGGTGAACGTCCAACGAAAAGTAAGTTCCTTCTTGGTCATTACTGATACATTTCAGTTAAAAGAAGTTCGTTAAAATTCAGTACTTAGCACAATGCAAATAAAATGGAAGCTGTTATAAGAAAATTAAACTGTCAAATACTTTAGAATACATGCCCAAATTTGACCCCACAACTAGCTGAGTGAGATCTACTGATGACCTAAATTATCATCAGTTAATCCAGTCCTTGAAAGACAGATTTACCAACAGAAATTGGGCATATCACAGTGGTTTAAGGACGTCTACGAAAGATGCACACAATATGCACCAGACTCGACCTCTACAACACGGCCGACACCTCAAGTACCTGCTTGAAGACTGGCTTCACTCTTCTCTGTCCTTCACTTCACGCAC